CATGTCCTCAACATGCGATGGACCTGTTTTATAGTATATTTGGCTTCTGCATCGATTCAGCAGTACCACTAAAATGTGCTTACCAAATTAAACATAAATCTGATCGCAAGGCGTTAAAGGCAGCACGAAAGCTTCATAAGTTTCGGCAGAAATTCAGGTTAACTGCTGACTCTGCGCTATTATTACAGCAGTGGAAGCTCGTCGAAGAACAGAGGCATCAACATGACAAAACTCTCATTCTAGAAGAGTATAAAGCTCTAAATGGCCCTAGCAAAACAGCTGAGCTAGCCAAACTATTCCTTGCTCGGGATTCGCGTTGCCGCGACGATTTCAATTTTATCACCACACCTAATGGAACATACTACGACGCACCAGGTGATATCTACGAAGCTTTCAGTGCTTAGTTTGCCGAATCAATGTTCAATGAATCCGCAGACACACCAACATTTATCATGCCGCACAACAATGAAGGTCTATGCACAGTGGAATTCATTATAGCGAAAATCACTGGTCAAGTATCCCGCTTATACTCCTCAACGTGCGCAAGCCATGATGGGATTCCCCCATGTTTGATAAAAGCAGTGGTAGTGACTTCATTCTGTTTTTGCTCAACATCTGTACACTCTCTTTTAACAACGGAGTATACCCCTACTCAAGGAAAAACTTCTGTCGTTATCCCGCGACATAAAAATGGCGCTGTCCACGAGGTTAAAAACTTTCGTCCCATCAATCACACACCCATTGTATCTAGAATAATGGAAACGATAGTGAAAGATGAACTATTCATATTCTTGAACCACGCTAACATTATCAGCAATTCGCAACACGGCTTCATGCAAGGTCGATGCTGCGCAACAAGCCAGACTGACTTTTTAAACCACACAACGGCTGCCATTTACAACGGAAACAATGTCGTAATCCTGTCCCTGGATATGCAAAAAGCCTTTGATAGAGTGCCTAACAGAGGTTACTAAACAAACTGTAGGCTATAGGCATTGGAGAACCGATGTTCTCTTGGCTATCTTCAAATCTAATTGGTAGACAGCAGATGGTGCGCATAGGCGACCATTTCCCTAAACCGAAAGCAATCACTAGTGGAGTGATTCAAGGGAGTGTTCTTGGTCCTCTTCTTTTTCTAATTTATATTAACGATATATTCCAGAGAATAAGAAACGGTGTTGCATTTATCTTTGCTGATGACATTAAAGTTGTCTACTCACAACCACGTGCAAATACCCAGGAAGCCGTACGTCCCATTCAGGATGACCTCTCTGCCCTTGACTCCTGGTGCCAACTGTGGCAGATGTCATTTGCCGTGGACAAGTGTAATATTTTGTCGTACAAATGCCAAGTACCGCCAGACAGTTTATTACTACAAGGTGCCTATATCTCGCAATGCAGGACAATTCACGACTTGGGCGTGCAATATTCAGTTACGTTTAACTTTTCTGAACACTGTGACTTCCAAGTTTCGAAAGCCATGAAGACCATTGGTTATATCTGCCATCATTTTTACCTCACGGAATCTCGCATATCGCTTTACAAAACATATGTATTGCCGTGTATGAAATACTGTTCAACGTTACAGTCTAATCTGCGGAAACCTGACCAGCACGCTCTTGAGAGGGTCCAGAGACGCTTCATGAAAAAGCTATGTGGATATTCCTCAAAGTTGACATACAGGGAGCGATGTGATAAACTTGGATTTGACCCAGTTTGGCTTCGGATAATGAAGCTGAACCTATGTTTTCTTTACAGAATCATAAATTGTCAAATTCGCAGTCTTGAAAACGGTGTTCACATATCTTTAAACAGCAGATATCCAATACGTAACAAAGAGGTAAAGGTCATGATTACAAAATTTACTGCCAGAATCAAATAATGTTTCTTTCTAACCCAATACTCAAAGATTTGGAACAAACTTCCAAGTGATATCAGAACATGCTATACACTTTGCAATTTTAAGCTTGTGATTAATAAGCATTTAACCGTTCAAAATGTGATTAAGATGTTCGGGACATCACAGTCCCTAGATAACGCATTCGAAAACGGTATCCATGGTGCCTGAATAAATTTCCGAAACACATACACATAACATTTCGGACAACAGCCCCTTTCATTACATTTTTTTCTCGGCCCAAATATCTGTCATGCGATTGTGAAGAATCCTGATTCAATAGCAGGAAAAAAATAGCAGAACGATTCTGATTCCTCTTTGTTACCTAATTTGCAATTGCGCCTATGTTTATCTCTGAAAATGTATTAATGAAATGTCATAGAAAAGTTGTACCATTATTTGATCTGTTCCTTCTAGGGAACAGCTTCTCGCATCGTCGAGGAATATACAATTTGTTTATTTATTTATAATAATAACAATAATAATTATTATTATCCGAAAACTTGTGGTTCAGTCAGAGCAACAAGCAACAGATGTTTTGGATTGATGGCGGAGAAATCGGAAAAGTCTTCCTTCTGAACTTCGGTTAAAGGTCGCAGAAGCATGGCACAGTTCAAATATGAAAGCACCTGAAGCAGCAAGCGTACCGACGAACGTACAGAAGCCTAACTTGACTGATGCTTTAAGTGAATCTGAGGTACGTCTAAATGAAAATCGTGACGCACCTTGGCCGAATCAAGTTTCAGACGAGGTATCATTATCCCATCAAAAGACGAGTAACTGCCGACCTCCCATCGGTCGGCATTCTCCCACACTTGACCCCTTCATTCCTCTGTGGGCTCCTAGGGACCGAGAAACTGGCCTTCTTTTATACGAATTCTCAGGGACTTTTTAATAATCTGGCCAAACTGAAAGACCGCCAAGGTTCCGGGTCATTGGTATCACTGAGACGTGGTTGCACACGGGAATGACGGATGCTGAAGTTTTGCTACCAGGCATTTCGCTGATCCGGAACGACAGGCTCACAAAAGGAGCAGAGGTAATTCTGTATTACCGAAGCGACTTACAGTGCGAAACCGTGGAGGATTCAGACTCGCAGTTCCCCGACTCTCATTGGTGCCACTTGCAGTTAAAAGGCAGAGGACGCTTGCCTTATTGTCTTGGTGTACCGCCCCCCTAACTCTGCCCTGGATACCACTGCCACCTAGTGGCTGCTTTAAGATGTAGTTTACAGCGAGAGTACACTCACATTTTTGGCATGGGTGATTTCAAGGTGTATTGTGTAGAAACTCTTGCCACGATCGGAGAATAATTCAAAGCCGATCTACAAGATCTCGTAACCACTGTTCCTCTTTACAATCACATCACTTTGCCAACTCGGTTAAGAACAGGTAACAGGCCAGCTGTGCTGGCTCTTGTGCTTACCAACAGGGATCATATGATCGATGTGTTGACTGTAGACAGCCCGTTGGGTCACAATGATCAGTTTCAACTTCTTCTGCTATGCGGAATATAGGAATGAGAAAGATGACACTGTGCGAAACATCACAAGCTACGATCGATTAGCCCAGTTCGTCAGCGCTACAACTTGGTCGTTCCTTGCCGAAGAATCCCCAGAAGTCGCCTGGCTGGAGTTCGTCAACAAACCCAGTCAGCTGATAGCAGTGACTACAGAAATAAGAGTGTAAATCAATTTCTTTCGTTGGGGACAGAAATCGAAGATGGATGACCGTAAGCAACGCAGCATGGCGAGTGTACAGAGAAGTTCCAGCACCAGAAACTTGGTACAACTATGTAGCCCAACGTAACCACTGCACACAACTGCTAAGAGAGGACAAAGCCGCATATCAGTACAACATCGCAAAAACTTCCCGTGCTAACCACAAACTGCTGTACAAGTACGTCAATAGCCTAGGAAAGATGAGGCAAGGATTTCCTCCAATCAGGACTGCTAGTGGCTTAACAAGAATTGCTGTGGAAGCAGCAAACGCGCTGCGGACGCAATATACCCCCACCTTCCAGAGGATTTTAATATTAAGCGATCTTACAACCTTTGTCGTCTCCTCGCCAAGACTAACGCATATCACTTTTACCACAGAAGCCATATTGCAAAGCCGACCTCTTTAAGTAAACACAGCTCGCCGGGTGTCGACACGATTCGTCCAGAGGCACTGGAGTTTACCATGGATTTATTTGATGTTAACTGTGGATGCTGTGAATCTAAGTGGATTGTCGGACTACAGCGGAGCAAAAGGTCAGTCCTTATTTTTATATGTAAAGTAGTAACTGTTTTACTATCATTATTGTTATTTCGATATCCCCACCAACTATCCAATGGGACTTGTAAAGCAACGCTTCTTACTCAGTATACATTCATTGTTTATTGTTCATTGAACAACATCCTAAATGCTCAGATAAATGTTCAGATAAACGGGAGAGCTGCAACTTATTTAATTCACCGAAATTTCTCATTATGAGCTTGTTTTGTGAAAACTACTCTGTACACCGCAGGTACTGTGACTTTGGCACAAATTGTTTGGGATCGAGGCTGACTGTTGTCCAGGGCGCAACGCGTAACTATTAAGGTCGGCTTTCGAATCGACCGGTGCATCGATGTACAATGTACGCGAGGGACAACACTGCGGCAAAATATCAAGCTGACTTGTTGAGAGAATCAGATAATAGCGACAGAACAGTGATTATCAAGCTAAGGTAGTCAGAAAGAGCAGTATGAATCGTACCTTACCATAGACACTGGTTGGAATGCAGTGCCAGAAAACCCGTAGGAGAAATTTTAGTCGAGGTTAGTGGTTTGGTAGAGCTCATACGTCCGTTGTGATCACATACGCCATCTGGCTATTACATGGTCTATTGAAAGCGCGGAGAAGTTAAAAGATACGTTTCGATTTTCACAAGCTGCTGAGGTCGACCAGGAAAACAATTGGGAAATCGGGAAGCTTCCCATATATTCACTTTTGCCCTGGTTAGGTTAATTGAAATTGACAAGTGGGCATTTTACAGACTAATTTCGTTCGACGGAATCTGCTCACCTGTCACGCGCGCAACTGGATAAATTCGAAGGCACAGTGAGTGCACCACTCACCTTGTGAACTGAGCTGTCCTGTCAAAGCTTCCTCGCTGTCCCAATGAAAAAGGCGTTCTTTTTCCACACTGATCCGTTCCAGCTGTGGCTTGCGTGCGTTGAGTTCGGTTAGGAATTGCTGAAGGGAGGGATAATTAAACGGTTAAATGACGCCTACGGGATAACAGCTAAACTGCCACCATTACCAACATCCTTATCCGGGATTAAAGACATCGATGAGACACAGTGTGTGCTAAAAGCAGTCTGGTATCTCGAAGACGAGTGGAGTGATTCCGCTGTTTATTAGCCGAATTCGCTATAGCACCTGGTTTCTGAACAACATCGTTTCAAGCAATTCACTTACATGAATCAAAAACATTGAGTCTGATGAGAGTTCACTTAAAATGAATTGCTCACTCGTTCAAAGTTAGCGTTATTGCCACTCCTTGGTGGAATGGATGAATTTGACGTAATGAAAAGAAGCAAAGCTTATGAAGTACTATGCAGGCGGGCCTCGCGAAGCTAAGAATAAACAATATATTTATTTATGCACGTATTCTCTGAATGGATATCAAGTGCCACTGATGTAAACAAAAACTAAAATAGTCACAGCTGTTGCAAGGGTAAGTTAAAACCCACTGAGCGAGCCAGTGGAGGTGTTCGTGCTGTCGATGGAAAACGGGAATCGAAACAAAGCTCCTCTATGATTGCGAGCGGTGCCGTAGTTATTCCACTGCTGACCGCACTAAGACGACCAGCGACGGAAGCGTCACCAACAATAGAGGATTACCCGCTGGAGACGCCTCTCGTTAACTCAGCTTAGTTGGCTAAACTAGGAAAGAGAAATTAAACTGGTAGCAACGGTGGAATTGAAAAGATGAACACACATTCTATCTCAACGTAAACTTCACCAAAGAATCAACACCAGATTAAGGCTAGCTGATCACCATTGGCAAGCTTCTGCCAAATGGATGCCGTCGGGAATGCACGTCATTGTTTCTCACATTGAATATACACCATTGGAACAGATGATTTGTTCGCGTGGAATAAGATATATTCACCATATCTTTACTTGGAGTTGACGTGCCAAGCGAACACCCTTGACGTAGTTAACACCTACTACCTATGTAGGAGAATGCTGAATACCCTATCCTAGGATACCTTCGTCACGATCAATGATCCCCTGGTTTTGATTCCCAGTACTATTTACCAAACTATTTTCCTTGTCCCAAACTAATCCTTGCTTTCTGTAGCTCAGAATGCGGATTATGTGCTCCGATGGTAATTTAATCCCATGTTTAATTTGCATTTCGAGAATGTGACTGATCGCACACGTCAACCTACGTTTCTAATTTCAGAACGAATTCCACTATTGCTTCACGTAGTAACGTCCGATGTGTTATCGAGGTACGAGAAGATTTAAGTAGCTATCCCTTGTGCTCACATTACCTCGAACTGCATGAGTGACCTGACAATATCTGCACTGCTGATGTGGGTGCGGATCACAGACATGGAGACCATTTGGATTGTGAGGTCTATTGTTATGTTCCCCCTTGGGTAAAATTGAAACACACTGCATTATTGTGTGGAGTGCACACATTCTCAAACGTCCACGGCTCAGGGTAGCCTCCTTCGCCGATTGGTCCGATGTAAGGCCGTTCTGAGCCACAATGCATTGAAACGAATTCATTTCCACGTGTGTCTTGAAGCCATACTTGTTGTCTATTTTTGATAGGTGTTTTTGCTGATACGCTTGAGCAGGAAGCACAGATTATTGTTGTTGTTTTTAATTGTATTCAAATAGTACTGTATTACAGTGTTGATCTGGTTATTGCTGACTCCGGTGAGAACGAGTACGCTCAAATCTTTCAAGCGATTTGTAGCCTACCAGCTAAATCCGTCGAACTCTTCTGCAGAATATGAGCGATCTGCGGAATTTTTCGCGGAGTTCTTATCTTGATGTGTCTATAATTGTTACTTTACGCAGTCACAAGACACTTTAGCCAACAACGAGCGCTTTACGCTACGCCACCCGCAGTTGCGCTGACACTGCACGTATCCAGTTGGAACCCGAAACCACCGGAAAAGGAACTAAAAGAACCGGAGCCACGATTACTCTTGAGTCAGTCAACACTCTCCCAACATGCATATCACTGAGATCAAATTGGGAAAAATATGCGCACCAGGCGCTCATAGGATGGCAATCGGTCCGTAGCCGTTTTCGTGATGTAGCCACTCCCTGAGACTAATACGAGCATAGTGAGTGCACGCGACGTCCCATTTAGTAACGATTGTCAATTTCCCCGTCTAGCGTTCTAGGTGGCGGTCTTGATCGAGTAGGTAGCATGCCAGCCTGGTATGAAGAGCAGCTGGACCTGACAAGTCACGTAAGATAGGAACAGCGCTTCCAATAGAGTCCACCCAAACACCAGTGAGGTGACAGCGTGGGAGTTTAGTCATTTGGCTGTATAGCCACATTAATCTACATTGGCCTGCTTTCTGCTGGAGCTGGTGGTGATCCATTTCGGAGAATGTTGTGGTATGAAATTGCGAACTGCACTGAGAGGACACAACAAGGTCACTTTTCTACGCGAATCGGAAACTCTCTACCTCTGACAGGGTCCGATGGCTTGGGTTTGCGAACTAATGTGTTCGAAGTAACGGAAGAGTGACGCAAGAACGGAACAGCATGAGAGCGACCCGTGTGGTGCCGCACGGTAGACTAGACCTGAACTACCTATATCGGTTAGGCCATTTTCACCGAGTGAATACCGAAATGTTGTGACATGCTCTTATGAAGCACAACCAAGATCAATCATGTTGCATACTCCATAACACACCAAAAAATCGGCGAATTCCTCTCCCAAACAAGACACGCAGCTGGATGATGTATACACAAATAAAATTAGGTTAATTTCCATCCAAAAACGGGCTCCTTTGAGCAGCTCAGACCACCGCATTTTAAAATTGTGTCCTATCGTATATACTGGAGCCAATTTCATCACATTGACCAAAAGCCTCTTCAAGACTATCAAAAGATGAAGCTGCGGCTTTGAAAATATCACAGTGCTTCAGTTGGAATATTCCTTAACTGATTTTGCAGTATTCAACGAAGATGACTTGTAGACTCAAGGAGACCATCTTACAGGCTACATTAAATATTGACTTGGCCTGTGTTGCGTCATCGAAATGTGCTACGCAATGGCAGATATGCTTTCATCACCACTGCTAAAGCGACTTCGAAAGATGAAAGAACGAGTTTACAAGTGCGAGATGGCGACTCGTGTCAAGAATCAATCCTCTGCAATCAAGTTTAAAATAAACAGACTAAACAATTTATACATCGAAGCGACTCTAAGCAAACCTAGCTGCGGTGATCTGCGGAGACTAATGTGGCTACACTGTGGCAAGAACGCCCGCAACCAGAGTGATGAGGTGGATGTGGATTAACCAGATTGCGAGTTTAACTCCGTCTCATCAAGTGCGCCCCCTTGACCTCCCTCATTCGCACAAGTCTAGCTCACCCTTCGACCAAAGCAATGTAAACAAGGATCCCAAAAGAGAAATTTCAAAAAAAGGCTAGCGGTCCGGATGCTGTATCACTATTAGCTTTAAAAGTGTGCACTGATTCTCTCACACTAACAGAAACCTTTAACAAATGCCTCACTATGGGTGTGATCCCGGACATTTGGAGATCGGCCAGAATAACCTCGCTGCCTAAAAGGGATCTCATAAGTATCGCCCGAATGCGTAAACATCTATACTGTTGAAAGTTTCCAAAAAACTGCTAATTTTGCGGATTTTCACGACAACGTTCGCTACGATAGTTATCAGTTCGAATATAGACTCCAACATTGCACATTCGATGCAGTAACCTACGTTGTTCATTCCACTGTGTCTGCATTGGATCAAAGATACGCATCTGTGCGTCGACTTTTTCTTCATTATTCTAATGCTTTTAGATCCTGGATAGATCAACGTTGCTCATTTAGCTTTCTGAGGACAAAATGCACGTTGATGTGTATAATCTGTTGTGTGACTGTTTTACGGACGGTACTAACTTCACCCAGTTAAACGGTAAGAAATCATCTGTTTTCTCCGTGCCGACTGTGTTGTTCCGCAGAGAGCGAATTTAGCGCCTTTGCTATTCTTCATATAAGTTGAACATCTAACACAAGCTACGTTTATAAGATGCAAACGATGTTGCACTGTGGTGTATGGCCCCAACTATTCAGGATTTCCCATCACCTCAACGTAGATTAGAAGGTCTGGTTGAGTGATCATCATCCAGATCCCTGACCCTTAACACTTCCAAATGCAGTTGTGTGATATTTACTTATCTTTGTGGGGATAAGCTGCAATCTCTTGTAGATATTCACACCGCTCTGACTGTGAAGGAAAATCCCGTATCCAGATCATACACTGAGAAGTATCGCGGAGTCTTTTTGTCCCAAAACTCCACTTGGTCTATGCATGTCAGTGAAACTTTTCATACAGCAGAGCAATTTCGTTTTGTGCCCTAACAACTAAGGGTGTTTTCAACACCCTGTACTTTAACAGTGTAATTCGTGATCTCTTGCATTTTCCCCCTTATGGTTATACTGCTCCCCTGTCCCCTTTCCTCGACTGCTTCAGAAAGACAACAGCTTATTGGTTCAATCATTAAAGCACATTTCTAAATGCAGCGGCTTTTCTAGAGATTATTTAATTGATCTGATCACTTTGAGACATCTTGATGCTTGTAGTAATTTTTCTTCTAAGACACTAAATGACCGACTTCATCCAATGCATAGTGGTCTTTCAAGAACACTCTTTCTCTTCTAAGCGTTTGAAATTCCAAGTTTTAGTCCCCCATATGGGTTCATAAGGTTCAGTTTGACAGAACTTGACTCAACTACTTCGGTAGGTATCGTGCGCAAGTGGGAGTCTCCGGCCGAGTGCAGTACTGACAATTTATCAAAGAGACAAACTAGTAATATACAACGGCGCCTGAACCGGGACTACGAGGTTGAGCCCGAGAGAAGTTAATGGAACCTACATTTGGTTACTCAGTTGAAACTATGGGCCCATAGCTCCGGTGATTAAATACTTTAAGGAAACCTTTGTATCCCCTCTAATAATGTGGATAGCGCAGTGAAG